CAAAGCAAAGCAAAGCAAAGCAAAACAAAAGCAACAACCCACGGAGGTGTGGGGACTTAGCTCAGGGCGAAGGCCCTGGGTTCCAGCCCCAGTACCGACACAGGGAGCGTGAGGAATCCCCTCCCTTCCCCCATCCTGGCCTTCCCTGCTTAACTTCCGCCTCCCCTGGCTCGCCCTCTTCACACCTCTGGCGAACAGAAATGTGGACACAGGCTCGCTGTGTGGAGGATGTGTGTACATTTGCATATCTATTTGGCTTAGTAATTTGTGGGGGTGCCAGGGAATCGAACTCAGGGACTTGTGCATGTCAGGAAGGCGCAACTCCATTGAGCTACATCCCTGACCCCTGATTTATTGTTCTTTCTAAAACTGGGGATTTCATGGAGCACCTTCACACTGTGCTACACTCTCATCCCCACTTTATTTATTTATTTCTTTATTTTGTACCAGGGATCGAACTCAGGACCTTGCGTTTGGGAAGCAGAGAGTGGCACCACTGAGCTAAATCCCCAGCCCTTATTTTTCATTTTTTGCGACGGTCTCACTAAATCTCCCAAGCTAGCTTTGAACTTTCAATCCTCCTGCCTCAGCCTGTCACAACTGTTTACAGATTTGTACCACCATGACGGGCACTGACACTGCTGTTACCAAAAGAGAACAAGACCCAGCGGGGCTCAGCACACTGCCATCCCCACCGCAGGGCTGAGAGGTTCACCAGATGGGGCCCCAACTCCCCTTCTCATGCAGGCGGGCTTGGTTCCTGGCTTCTGGACTCTTCAGCCTTTCTCAGAGAAGACTGGACGCTGAGCAGCCAGCCGGGGTCCCCAATCCAGACCGAACTTGGGTCTGACCCAAAGCCCTGCGATTCCACGACGTGGGCAGACTGCCAGAGCCCGGTCCCACGGTCAGTGAAGAGTATGTGGGTTTTATGTTTTGTTTTGTGTTTTTAAATCTAGACTCAGCCAGTACATTGAGGGAGGGGAAAGGCTTTGAGGACTAGGACATGAGTGGTGTGTGTGTGTGTGTGTGTGTGTGTGTGTGTGTGTGTACACAGTACTCCCAGGACTCAGGAGACTGAGGCAGGAGGATCCCCTTGATTTTGAGTCCAGCCTGAACTACGTAGTGAAACCCTGTACAAAACTTTTAAGGAAACAAAAAAGAAAAGCAGGTTGAGGGAAATGGCCAGGTGCTACTGCTAGAAGTCTTCTTGGGGAAGCTGGAGAGGAAAACTAGCCCGCATGGCTGCAGAGTTGCCTCTGGGGGCATGGGGTATCCAGGCTGACGTGGGAAGGGCCCCGGCCCCTGGACCCCGACCCCAGGAGCCCCACCCAGCCTGATTGTGAGGTGGCGCAAGTTGCAGCACCGCCCGGGTTGGAGGGCACATGGGGGCGGGTGGGGTCCTGGGCTCCCCGGGCCGGGCCCCAGCATGGGCAGTGCCTACCATTGGGAGGCCCGGCGCAGGCAGATGGCTCTGGACAGGAGGCAGAGGCTGCTGGCTGAGCAGGAGCAACAGGTGCAGGGGCCGGGCCGTGAGCCCTTGGACAGGAGGGAGGGAGACAGAGCCCTCTCAGCCGACTACAATCTAGCAGACTCAGTGTGTGTTTGTTCCCCAGCTGGGGATCGAACCCATGGCCTCACACGCCCACAGGCCGCTGCTCTCATCATCAGCCCAGTGCCCGCCTGGATGGCTGTGAAGTTGTACTGCCCCTTATGCTCAATGGCCTGGGTGCTGAGGGGCCCTTCTGTGTGGCAACCGAGAGGGAGGAGTTAAATTTTATATTTTAGATACATTTAAATATAAAATAAGAGTACTCAATTGATATATTTAACAAATTTGAAGTACATTTGGCACAATTTGGGTCTATAAATCTCTTTTGACTGTGCATTATATAAAATCTAAATATAGATAAAATACTGTCGATGAAGCCAGTGTGGTGGTGATGCCTGTAATCCTAGCTACTCAGGAGGCTGAGGCAGAAGGATCACAATAGAGGCAGGCCTGGACAACTGAACCAGATGCTATCTTCAAATAAAAAATAAAACAGGGTTGGGGATGTAGCTCCGTGGTACAGCACCCCGGGTTCATTCCCAGTAATGCAAGAGGAAAAACTGTTGGGCATGGTGTCGGGATACTGAGGGTTGGACCCAGGGCCCTCCTGCTAAACTACATCTGCTTTAAAAATTATTTTTTAAGCCAGGCATGGTGGCGCACACCTGTAATTCCAGCACTCAGGAGGCTGAGGCAGGAGGATCACTGTGAGTTTGAGACCAGCCTGGGCTACGTAGTGAGTTCCAGGTCAGTCTCATCTACATAGTTAGACCCTGTCTCAAAAAACCAAAAAAAAAAAAGAAAAGAAATACAAAATTATTTTTACAGCTGGATATGGTGGTGCATGCATGTAATCTCCACACTCTGGAGGCTGAGGCAGGAGAATCATTTTGAGTTTGAAGCAAGCCTGGGGTACATAGCAAGATCCTGCTTAAGAAAAAAAATTGAGGGCCAGGGATTTGGCCCAGTGGTTCCACCAAGAAGGTAGGCAGTGGAACCAGTGGGCAAAATCTCCAGCTGAGACAGTCTTAAGTCACCAAGTTCCCCAGGTGGGGCTTGAATTTGTGATCCTCCTACCTCAGCCTCCCAAGTGCTGGGGTCATGGTGCATGACACCACACCTGGCTTAGTGTCCAAATGAGGATGTGCTATTAAGTGTAAAATGCAGACTGGTTGTTTTCTAATTTTTTTTTTTTTTTTTTTTTTTTTTTTTGGTACTGGGGATTGAACTCGGGTCCTTGCGCTTTTGAGGCAGGTGGCAGAACCACTGAGCTAAATCCCCAGCCCTGCAGGCTGGTTTTGAAGATTTAGTATGAAAAAAAGAAAAAAGAAAATATCAGTTACTCTTGTCATATTGGTCGCAGGTTTGGATAACTGCTTAAATCAGATGCATCCTGGTTAGCTCTCCAGTGTTCCAATGTCCCCTGTAGCTGTTGGCGACTTAGGATTGCTCACGAGGCTGTGGGGCAGGAGTATTTCCCTGCCCCACTCCGAGTCGGCGTGAAGGTGCCCGGCAAGCGCCCTCCTGGTGACACGTGTGGGGCTTCCCGCCAGGCACTGAAGAAAGGCCAGGAGGAGGAGGAACAGCCCTCTGAGAGACCCCAGCCACAGCCGGGCCCCACGGCGCCTGGGCCGATGCGGGTACAACTGCAGTCTCTGTCACCGCGCCCCAGGGGACAGGGCGCCCTGCCTCAGTGCGACCTCCAGACCAGGCAGCCGCCCCACGGGGACCGCAGACCCCAGGCCTGGCCACCCATCCTCCCTGGACCTGGTGAGGACAGCACCCCTCCCTGCCCAGCCCTGCACCTGAGTCCCCGTCCGCCTCCGCCCTGGCTCTCCTGCCTGGGTGCCCACTGCCTCCAGGCGGCTCACCGGGAGAAGCTATGCAGGGCTCGCACAGCCACCAGCTGACTCCTCTGCACCTGCCCGGCCCCGGCCCTTCTGTGCTCTGTGGAACTCAGTCACTGTGCTTGCTTCTGTCTTCAGGCCTCACGAACCCATGCCAGCCTGGACCTGCTAAAAATACCGGGTACTCACGACTCACGGTGAGACGAGCGCAGCAGGAAAGGCAGCGGGGCTGTGGCCTTGTGTGTCAGGGGCCCGGGGTGGGCTGCCACTGAGCCGCATCCTTAGCCCTTAGGGCCTTGCTACATTGCTCCTTGACCCCAGACTTGTGCTCTTCCCGCATCGCATCCCAAGCAGCTGGGTTCCAGGTGTGTGGCACCATGCCCCGCAGGATAGTAACTGTTGTTTCTTTTGTTGTTTTATTTTGGTGCCAGAGATTGAACTCGGATCCCTGCGCTCGGCAAGGCAGCAGAACCACTGAGCTAGACCCCCCGCCCCACCCGAGTAACTATTCTTTACTGGGCTTGAACACAGGTTCCTGCACCTGAGCTGCACCCCTTCCACACCCGAGCCCACTTTTTATTTTGAAAGAGGATTGTCCAGGCTGGGTGTGAACTCTGGACCCTCCTGCCTCAGCCTTTCGGAGAGCTGGGATGAGGAGTGCACCTTCATGGCCCGCTCGGATGGTAGCTTGGTGAGACTCTAAAGTGGTGTAGGCTTTGGAGAGATCGAGGTCTCAGGGGCCTGCGCCCCGTGTAAGGCTCTTGTGGGCAGGACCTAGCGCTTAGAGACAACTGCGGAGTCTCAGGCTGCTTCGGATTCCAGACCTCTGCGGCAGCTCTGGCCTTGCAGCTCTCAAAGACAAGAAGTGTTTCTTCCATTTTGCTTTGTGCTCCTCAGAGCTTTCCTAGCTGTTTTTAATCCATTCCTTATTTTTTCGTTTTAGTTCTTTCCGATTTGTGTAAGTTTTGCTTTTTTCTCTGACCATTATGCCCGCCTCCTTGAGCTTTTGCCCCTACCTCGTCCAAACCTGTGACCTTAGCAACTCAAGGAGGAGGGAGCAGCTCAACCTGGGTTTCCCAGTCATGGCGTCACACTCTGAGATGGGCAAGTCTGCAGCGTGAGGCAGCAGGATGGCAAGCAGGGGTTCTCAAACTGGCGGCTGATTGCTGCGGAGCAGAAGCCCGAGGCTCCCGGGCTCGGCTGTTCAGGCTCCAGGTGCTCAAGGCCTCGGTTAAAATCTCAAGGGAGAGAACTTGTCTTCTGTGTCGAGCTGTCTGGATGTTATTTTGGACATGCTCCCCAAGTTCCATATCTAAAGTTCTTGTGAAAAATTATCATGATATTTAGCTCTTTTGCAGCATTTATTTCAGCGATTATCCCGTGTTTTAGTCCCAGCTGACAATCTTTGCTACATTCTCCCGTTCTCCCATCTGAAGCACCTGCCTGCCTCCTTTTCCAGGTTTTGCTTCCTTTAGACTTCAGCTAGATGTGAGGGGCACTGTGTTGTGGACTCTGTTTTTCTCTTCTCCTTTTTATTCCAAGTAGCCTCCCTGAGCAGGTGATTGCTCGTGGTTTGAGCTCCCATGATGGGAGCCAATTTCCAGAGACCCCTGCGGTCAGGTTCCAGTCCCCACCTGTCTACTATACAACACAGGCCTGAGAAAAAGATGCACTGAGAGGCAGGAGGAGAGAGAGCAAGGCCGGGAGACCAAGGCCGGTGCAACACAAGGCGCTGGCCAGTCCCGGGTGCTGACTTTTATTGGCAATCAACTGGGGTAAAGGTGATGTGTGGTTTCTGTGGAAATGGATGTAAACAAGGCTCAGAAAAGACAAGACAAAGCACTCTCGGATCAGGAACACAATACACAACATGTGACTGTGATTAGAACACTGTCCTTCTAGCCTGAACGGGACTTGGGTGCGAGTTACTCTCAGCTCAGCACGCAGCCTGTTCCCGGGTAGGGCTCGCTCTCCACAGCCTGCACTGGGCATGGCAGGGGTGCTGTCCTCTGCACAGAGTAGGACGAGGTCTGGGCTGCTCTTTTTCAGGCCTCAGAGGGTTTGGCAGGCCCTGAACAACAGCACAGAGATGCTCACTCCGTTGTCTCCTGTCCCTCCCTCTTCTCAGTCAACTGATTACATCCAGCAGTGGTGACCCGGACTTGGACTGCAGGACCCCGCCCACCGTCGCCAAGAAGGAGCAGCCACACCTCCGACCACCGGCAGGGGGCGCCCGAGGAAGCCTTGCTCTTGCTCTGGGAATCACTGACTGCAGTAAAATGTGACTCCTGGAATCCAGGCCCCTGCCAGCTGTGTGGGCCGGGTAAGGCAGGACACATGGGGAGAAGGGGAGCGGAAGCAATTCTGTGCTTATTTCTTTTTTTGAGACAGGGTCTCAGTATGTAGCCCACGCTGGCCTCGAACTTACAGCAATCCTCCTGCCTCAGCCTCCTGAGGGCTGGGGTCACAGGCCTGCACCACCACACCCAGCAGCTCCTTGCTTTTGAGATAAAGCCCAGGCTCCAAGTCTGCCCTGGGCCTCTGGAGTCTGCACTCCTGCTGTTGCGCCTCCCTCGTCCCACAGCTGCAGCTGTTGGCTCCTGATGGTCACTAGGTGTCACCCCATCCCGAGCCTGTGCAAGGATGCAGCACGCTTGAGCTGCCCGGGCAGCATGGAGGCAGCTGGTGGGCAACTGAGGAGCAGAGCTTGCAGGACCCTGCCGAACCCAGCCTCGCTGTCCCAGCCCTCAGCCGCCCCGTCCAGAAGAGACCCTGAGGCTCCCAAGCCCCCCCGCCCTTCCCTCAGCAGCCCAGGAAGAGGGGACAGGGCCTGGGGACCCAGTCCTGTTGTCCTGCACCCTGAGAAGGTCCTCGAGGTCACTGCAGTCATGACCTGGGGCCCAGGCAGCAGAAGGGGTCTCCTGAGGGAGGAGGCAGAGGGCCCAGGGGGCATCGCCTGCGGATGACCGTGCAGAAGCCGGGACACAGGGTAAGTACAGACAGCGTCAGCAGTGAGGCGGGAGGATGGCAAGTCCAACCCAATCGGAGCAACTCAGTCACTTAGTGAGACCCTGTCTCAAAATCTTTAAAGAAAGGGCTGGGGCTTGGTGGGAAGGCTGGGGTTCGATGCCTGATTTGGTGGGGAGCAGGGCACCTCTCATGTGCAGAGGCCTTGATGCCACTGGACAGCAGCAAGCAGGTGGCGTGAGGGGAGTGGCCCTGGCGCCCTCCGGCCAGCGGCTCCCGGCGGTGCTGTTCCCGGTTTACTGAATATAAACCCTTGACATCTGGCTACCCCCGCCCCTCGGGATGGCCCACTTCGACCCTGGCAACATCACGGACTCCTGGCTGTCACCACGGCGGCGCCGATGCGTGATAAGCCCCTGGTGCCCCAAAGAACCATTAGGGGTGGGAGGAGAGGGAGAGCGCGGGTGGGCAGGGAGGACGGCCCCAGGTCCCTCGGTGCATCAGGGCGGGTGGAGCTCCAGCACCCTTCCCCGGCGGCAGTCCACATACTCCGAGCCCTCGAAGCTGTGTTGGTCCTCGTGGCCCAGGTAGGAGGTGGTCAAGGTGCCTCTGCGGGAGGCCAGGGCGAGGCTGGAGGTGGCCGGGGGCCTGGTCCTGTGGCCCGCCCGGCCCCTCTGCAGCCCAGGACGCTGCCACACATGAGCCTGGCAGCCAGACGAGAGCAAGGAGGGCTTGGGCTCACCTTCCCCAGAGCAGCCCCAAAGATCAGGTAAAGGTAGGGTGCTCCCCAAGACAGCTGACGTGAGGCTGAGGCAGGAGGATGGCCTAGAGTCTGAGGCCAGCCTGGGTACACAGCAGAGAACCCGAAACCAAAGCCAAGCCTAAGGAAGCGGGAGCGAGGACCCTGGGGCGCCGGCCCCACTTACTGGATGTGTAGCACCACGTAGTGGACCTTGATCTCCGGCCAGGTACAGATTTTGCTGAGAGAGAGAAGGACAGAGGTGGGGCCAGGGTCACACACAGGAGCCCCGCAGGCCCAGGGCCCCCCACCTCCTGATCTTCCGGGGCTCAGTCCCTTGTGGCGACTCCGCCGCTCCCGTTCTTGGCCCCTGCACGTCCCAGGGCACAGCCACACGCGGTAAAGATTAACCACGGCAGCAGGCGGCCCGGGGCACCACCGAGACTCACTAGGTGGTCTCATCCGAGATCCTGCTGGCCATGGTGTACAGCACCTGTGGGGAGGGGACGGGTCAGCCGGCCGCCGCCCTCCCCACCCACACTCCAGCGGCGGTGGCTGCTGGGACAGTCACCTGGTCACTGGCCAAAGGGCTGATGGGAAGCAGGAGGCTCTCGGACAGCTGGCCCACCAGGAGGGACACATGCAGGGCCTGGACGGTCAGCTGGGTCACAGTGACTGGGCAGTAGTTGGGGTTGGAGATGTTCAGCACACTCTGGGAAAAAGGTCAAGGGAGGGGCGGAGGTGACCCACCAGGAAGGGAGTGGCCAAAGAGGGCACAGGGTCAGCACGTGACTGCACCCTCGCACCACCTGAAAATGTTACATCGCCAGCTGTGGCAGCGCAGCCATCATCCTGGTACTAGAGAGGCTGAGGCAGGAGAATCGCTGCAAGTTCAAGGTCAGCATGGGCTATGTAGGGAAACCCTGGCTCAAAACAAAAGTTACAATGAGCTGTGCATGATGCGTCACACCTATAGTTCTAACACTCTGGGAGGCTGAAGCAGGAGAGTCATGGGTTCAAGCTCAGTCTAGCAATTTAGTGACACTCAAAACAAAAAAGGATAGGGTGTGGTAGGGCACGTCTATAATCCTAGCACTTGGGAAGCTGAGGCAGGAGGATCACCCCGAGTTTGTTTGGGGCCAACCTGGGCTACATAGTGAGTTCAAGACCAGCCTGTACTACATAGTGAGACTGTCTCAAAAAACTAAACAAAATAAAACAAAAAAAAGGCTGGGGATGTAACTCAGTGTGAAGACCCCGGGTTTGATCCCCAGTACTGAAAAGGAAAAAAAAAAAAAAAAAAAAA